AACATCTTTCTTTGGTGTCAGTTCTAGAAGGTGTTGTAAATCTTCATAAAATTGTTCAATTTCAGTCTCCTCAGCAATGGTGGTTGGTGCATAAGCTTAGATTATTGTGATGTTGAAAGGTCTGCCATGGATTTGTATTGACATCATTCTATCATTTTGAGATTGTATCCCATTACAGCTTTCCCCACTCTTTTGTTGACTATGAAGGCTACTCCATTCCTTCTACGGGATTCTTGCCCACAATAGTAGATATTATAATCATCTGAGCTGAATTCGCCCATTCCTGTCCATTTTTGTTCACTGATGCCCAGGATGTCAATGTTTATTCTTGCCATCTCCTGTTTGACCTCCTCCAGCTTCCCAAGGTTCATAGATCTTACATTCCAGGTTCCTATGCAGTATTCTTCTTTGCAGCATTGGACTTTCCTTTCACTTCCAGGCACGTCCACAGCTGAGCGTCCTTTCGGCTTTGGCACAACCACTTCATTAGCTCTGGAGCTACTTGTACTTGTCCTCGGCTCTTCCTCAGTAGCATGTTGGACGCCTTTCGACCTGAGGGGCCCATCTTCCAGTGTCATATCTTTTAGCCTTTTGTTTCTGATCATGGGGCGTTCTTGGCAAAGATACTGGAGTGGCATTGCCTTTCCCTACTCCAGACCTGATATATCTGCATGTAAATAGCTATATCATTTGGGCTAGGAGGTTTAAGACAGCAGTTTAAATTATTGAAATTTTGTACTTAGAGCTAGGCTCAGCTTTACCTCTGGTCTTCAATAAGTTACTTCTTAGGACTTCTATAATCTACATTCTGTTTTCATATTCCCCTGATCTGTAATGAAAGTATAACAACGAACCAGATTGCATAGTATCATACATTCTTCTCTTCATCCAATATACAAAATAGAAATAAAAAGCTCAATTTTGGTGTCACTCCATAGTTTTAGAAATAGTTTGTGGGGGGAATTTGCCTCCAAGTTCTCTTTTGCCTTCTAGGGAGTAGGGGGGCAATTTTGCCGTGTTTTAAGAGAAAACATTTTTAAGAAGGTTTTCTTTTTAATTCAGCCACTAGATGGCATTTGAGAACTTTTTCATTAAAAAAACCAAATTATTGTCCAAAAAAATGCTTTGGATGCGGAGCTCAGAAGATCGGGTATATCCTTCCAGGGAGCTCAGATGGATTTGTGTAACTCCTAGAGATTGCCCACTCAAAAGACAGGCAGTGGGTAGCACTAGAGGATTGATACAGATCAGATCAAGTTTAATACAGTCATAGACCAATATCCAAACGTAAAAATAAATGTACAAAAACAGTAAAACTCATATATAAAAACATATACAAAGTTAAAAACAGTAAAACACATACATAAAAGCATGTACTGTACTAAGTTAAAGGCATCTTAGCGAAGTAATACATTATACCACCTTAGTAGATTGATACAAGTTGCTCTCTCAGCTTCAGCACAAGCTGTAATAAACAATTTCTGGACAACACTACTGAGTTGTTGTAATTCACTCAGAGCCTGGTCCTGAAGTACTGAAGGCTGTGAGAGACCCCACTTGCTTCCAGCCAAAACGCATTCCAGTCTCCATGATGGTAACGTTGAACTACACTTGCTTTGAAATTTAATGGTCAAAATCCTCTTACATAAGTTATTCGTTAATTAGATTGATGCTAATTGAAGAGTCTTCAATTAAATTCCAGTTTTAAAGTATCTTAATTTAGTGTCAGTTTTTCATAATTATAGCTTGCTTAATTATTTCCTAATATTTTAACTATGATGTTTTCAATATATCTGTTTTAAAATCAAATAAATAAATAAATAAATAAATGTTGTGAGCTTCCTTGGGTACTGCACTGAGAGAAAGAAGAGATATGAAAACAAAGAAGGAAAGAAATGTTTCACACTGGATAAGAGCTGATGACGCACAGACAAACATTAAAGCGAAGCTAATATAGCCATGTTGATCCTTGAAAACAAAATCTATTGATTTCGCTTTTTATATGGTATTTTTATAATAAACATTCTTTCTCAGTGCAGGCCAATTCAAGTTTCTCCTGCTACACTGAGATATTCCAGAATGATACCGTAAAACCCAAAGCAATTAAATTGTTCCTTGGAATACATAATTTGGTAAGTTTTCAGCTATGTGTTTCTAGTCATAATGCAATTAATGCATTAGGATATGTATATATATTAACACTATTCTGAAGTAACTGCTAAGCATAAAGAACAATATTATCCTTATGAAAAACTGAGCTCATATGGGCATGCAAATGGAAAATTTAAAGAGCCTACCTTCAAATTAGAGTGTAGTTTCTATTTGCTGGAGGAGTTACTGCCAATACTAAAGTAGAGGTATGTAAACTGGAATTAGCACCCAGACATCCTCTCTAATTCTTCCAATCCTTAAAAGTCCATTTAACAAGGCAGAAACCATCATAATTTTGCATAGATTGTATTATTTGCATCAAAATGTTGTTAAAGCACTATTTTGTACAATTTTCCTCAATTTGTGCAGAAAACTTTTGTTGTCATAGAGTGGGACAAAATGCAATGACCTGTTGTAGGATGAGAAGAGTAATTTTGCAGTTTCTCATCCTCTCCTGCAAGAATTTGTGCCTCTTAGACTGAGTTCAAGGATGGAAGGGGCCCATCAGAATAGGGATATTAATCTTCATTCCTACAGTATGGTTGTGCAGGAAACATGTCTGGGAGACTTAAGACCAGTGAACATTGTTGTGTCTACCGGTAGTCATAAGAAACCTTTTTTTAAAAGAGAGAGTATTCTGCATTTAACTGCATTGTTCTAAAGCCAGGCAACCATCCTTCCCTGGACATTTTAGTGAATTTTGCCTACATCCAGCTGAACCCACATGGACACACTTTTTGGCAGGAGACAACTGGCCTTGAAAATGTGTAAGAATGGGATGTTGACCAGCTTTTACTTGTGACTCCTTAAAAACAAACACATTCTGTGTACATGTAGTTAGCATGGAATGTTGAAGTCAGCAGCCTAACTCATCAAAGGCATCAATATGTTGTTAAAGATTTTGATTGTGCTGAATCTTATGCATATCTAAATCATAAGTTAACCTTTGTTTGTTTTTTCATGTTGACAAAGAAAGTAATTTGTCACTTGTATGACAATAACAAGGAGGACACCAAGGAGAACAGAAGGAAAAATCTACTTCTCTATACTTCAGCAGGCCTTGCTCCCAGCATACAGATCTTCAATAGTACCTATTCAAAAGTCTTCTACTTCAAGATGACGCTGGTAAAATATTCGGGGAGGGTCTAAAGCTCAGTGGGATAATACATGTATTACAAGGTCCCAGGATCAGTTCCTTTTACCCAAATTAAAAGGATAAAATAGCAGCTAATCTCCAAGCCTTCTACAGAATCCTAGAGACACTAGTGGCCTAAGGTCAAATGGGAGAGCACCTCATCTCTCAGTTTCAGAATGATGGGCTTCATGAACAGACCATGGATCAAGAGAGTAGCCATTCTTATGCTACCAGTAGAGTAGATAATATTGTCCTAGTGGAGCAAATAACCTCTTTAAGCATGAGACAATATTATATGTTCTTGTTAGACTAGAGGCTTAATTAGATTGTGAGCCATGCACAGTCCCTACAATATTTTTTTCAGCCTCAGAAATTCCCTATCTATGTTTTTTGCAAAAATTTGGAAAATGGGAAAAACTTCTAAGGAGAATAATTCTCCTCTAAGGCTGCCTATTTTGTTTTAACAAAATAAACATTTTTAAAAAAACTGAAACTGACCTTCTGGTATCTTCTGATTTCACCAGAAATGGCTTGCGGTTGCCATTCTGGGTGTGGGGATAGTGGGAGATGGCCCCCAGACTTTTCAAATTAGACCATCTCTGTATTTGTTACGTTTCAAGCAACAATTTCCTAAAATAGTAACTGTCCAGTGCTGATTCTATGGGGTTTTTTTTAAACTGAGGAATATCCATAAATATTATTGCATGAGAATGTGAAACACACATGAAGTTTGGAAGACATAATCATAGGGGAGATTACTCTTATCCTGAAACATTTTTGAAAATTTAGCTGTATATGCAGAATTTTTAACACAGCAAATTTCCTGGAGACTCAGATTATTTCCTCTAATACAGTCTTCTCCAATTTGTAATAGTTGGCCAAAGATTTGGTGGCTACTTTCTATTGCTCTTCATTGCCATAACTGCAGATCAACAGTGGGTGGGATTATATCTCTAAGCAGAACAGGGTTCCAGCGACAAAAGCAGCAACAAGGTTCCACATGGTTATCTAAACCCAATAATAGCATTTATCCCAAGTCTTATGTTGGTTTCCAGTTACTTCCTTTTTTAAAAAAAGGGCTATTTTTGGCGTAAAACAGACAGGGAGGAGGAGGAAGGTACTGTACCATGTTTCCCCAAAAATAAGACAGGGTCTTATATTAATTTTTGCCCCCAAAACGCGTTAGGGCTTATTTTCAGGGGATGTTTTATTTTATAGTCATGTCATCTTCTGGTTACACAATGGTGGAGGATGGGGTTTCACTTAACTAGGGCTTGTTTTGGGGGTAGGGCTTATAGTACGAGCATCCTGAAAAATCATGCTAGGGCTTATTTTCAGGTTAGTTCTTATTTCAGGGAAACAGGGTTGTTTTTAAAATATAGACTCATAGAAGCGTAAAGATGCATCATTTTGGTCCTCACCCTGCTGATAGAAGGAATTTATGGCTAAAGTATCCCAGACAGATGGCTATCCAAACTTCAATTAATTCCTTCCAGCAAAGGAGAATCCACCATTCTCCAGGTTGACCATTCCACTGTCAAACAGCTAAGTTCATGTGGGCTGGATAGAACAACTGTCAGGTGGATACTCAGTTGGTTACAGAATCATACTCAGAGCATACTTATCAATGGGTCCTTCCCAAATTGGGATGAGATAACAAGTGGAGTACTACAAGGCTCAATCCTAAACCTGGTGCTCTTCAGTATTTTTATTAATGACCTGGATAAGGAAATGCAGGGAATACTTATCAAATGTGCAGGTGACACAAAATTAGGTGGAATAGCTAATACCTTGGAAGACAGGGAAAAAATCAAAAAGGTCTTGATAGGTTTGAGCTCTGGGCTGAAAACAACAGAATGAAATTTAACAGGGACATGTGGAAAGTTCTATACTTAGTAAAAAAAAGACCAAATACAGTACACAGTTACAAGACGGGGGATATTTGACTCAGTAATTGTGTGGAGGATCTTGGAATTGTTGTAGATCAAAAGCTGAGTATCAGCCAACAGGGTGGTGTGGTTGCAAAAGAGGCAAATGCCTTTTGAGTACTGTTGTACAAGATGAGTACTTTTCATTTTGAGTACTGTGTCCAATTCCGGACACTGCACCTTAAAAAGGATGTCAACAAACTGAAACAAATTCAGATGAGGGCAGCAAGGATGGTTAGGTGGCTAAAACCCATCCCTATGAGGAAAGACTGAACAAGTGAGGCACGTGTAGCCTTGAGAAAAGAATACTGAGGAGAGATTGGATAGCAGTTTTCAAATACTTGAAAAAATAATCATATAGTGAAGGGGCGGGATCTGTTCTCAATCATCCTGGAGTGTAGGATATGTAGTAATGGGCTCAAGTTACAAGAATCCAGATATGGGCTGAATATAAGGGGAAACCTTTTTAACTGTTAGAGCACTAAGACAATGGAATCAATTACTTTGGGAAGTGATAAGTACTCCAACACTGGAGGCATTCAAAATAAAATTGGACAACAATCTGTCAGATTTGCTTTGATTTGAAGCCCTCCACTGAGCAGGAAGTCAGACTCAATTGCATTATAGGCTCCTTCCAACTCAATTATTCTATGATTCTTACAATCAAGAAAGTCTTCCTGTTGTGTACTCCTCCAAATCTCCTTTTTTGTAAATTGACTCCATCAGTTTGCCTCCAGTAGGACACATCCTATGTTCTTATGTAAACACAATTTACAGTGTCTGTTTCTTTGGAACTTAATAGTTTCCAGTAAGCTGAACACATACACATTCACTTATGTATATGAAAATTAAAGGAAATCACTGGAAATATGTTCCTTTAGAGAATCGTACTAGCTCTCAAAATAAGAAAGTGTCAGAGTATTTATGTGTGTGGAAAACAGTTCTATCTCATTATTACCTGTGGAATTACCTAAGTCAGAAAGCCCAAATGCTACCTTTATGGTGTAAAATAAATAAATAAATAAATAAATAAAGTCCAAATGCTACCTTTACGGTAGTAAAAATACAGCAATAACAAGCACTATCAGTTTAATGTTCCCTCAAACACTGAGGTGCCTCAACTTACGAATGTCCCGACATACGTTCATTTCGAGTTACGACCAGCTCCAGCTGCAAAATTTTGCTTCGACTTGCGGCTGGAGCTTTGAGTTGCAAACAAAAGAGCCAGGGAAAAAAGGCGGGGAATTCAAATTAGAGGGCTAACCGTTGGTTGGCGAAGAGCTTCTTTGTAGCTCTTTCATCCCAACGGTTAGTGTGCGCGTGTTTGCAGAGAGGCTTTGGACTGCCTGGTGCTGGTTTCTGCTTCTGGGTGAGTACATTTACAGGGTTTTGCAGTGTTTTGCAGGGTGGGTTTAGGTTTAGGGGAGTTATGTTTCTGTGTTGTGATGGTTTTTTTCCAGTTATGTTTCTGTGTTGTGATGGTTTTTTCTGTTTTTTGATGTGCGTGCTTTTCCCAGCCCCATCGCATTGGGATGGAGTTGGCTGTGTGTGGGGGGGTGTTTGATTTCCTCCGTGTGTGTGTTTTCCCAGCCCCATCGCGTTGGGATGGAGTTGGCTGTGTGGGGTGTGTGTGTTTGATTCCCCTGCCAGTCCCATGGCATTCCAATGGGGCTGGCTGTGTGTGTGAGGTTTTGATTTTCCCCCATCATGGCATTCCAATGGGGCTGGCTGTGTGTCTGAGGTTTTGATTTTTCCCCCAGCCCCATTGTGTTCCGATGGAGTTGGCTGTGTGTATGGGTTTTTTGTTTTTTTGTTTGTTTTCCCAGCCCCAGCACCTTCTGATGGGGCTTGCTGTGTTGTTTATTTTTGGTTGTTTTTTTTTAAAAGCCCCAACGCCTTCCGATAGGGCTTGCTGTATGGTTGTTGTTGTTTTTATGGTAATTTTCTTTTTCTGGAAACTATTAATCGTGTTCTAATGCATTCCTATGGGAAATGATGCTTCGACTTACGACCATTTCGAGTTATACCCATCTTCTGGAATGGATTACGGTCGTAAGTCGAGGCACCACTGTATTTACTTCCTGACAAATTATCTAAGTGTAGACATTGCTGAAATAAATAAATATTCTTCTTATATAAGTAAGAAATAGCTATCTATGTCTCATATTTTATATTATTCCTCTATATTATTACTCTACTGCATATGCTGAGGGTAGTATATGCAAAGATATTTTGTCCCTGCTCCTGTAATATGTGGCAAATTACATCAAAAAGCTGGCTCTGCCAAGGTGTTCCAGTAAATGTAGTGGAGATTTGAGTCCTATTGAGAGATTTGAGTCCAAGCCTCAAAATCAAACATATTTTTAGTCATACCTCAGGGTTAATTAGAAAAATCAAATTGCAATAATTTATTTTCTAAAATGTTTGTTATTTCAACACACGTAGTATCTTTGGTTGCTATTTAATCTTCCATAAAAGGGAGAAGATGTGGATTCATGGTCAATTGATATCCCGCGAGCAAAGATTACCTATAATACAGGTGAGAGAACATCACAGACTGCTTATTCATCTATTCCCCCCTATTGTTTGGGTTGCTTGTTATCTTTCTTTTTTTATTTGTATCAGAGTGCTGCAAAAATTGAAATTATGGATTTATATGAAATATAATTAAAAACAAAAACAAATTAAATGGTTAAGATAATCAGACTTTTTTTAAAACCAGGAATGGGCTACTTTAATAGCATTATCTCAGCCATTTGCTATATCTCACTAGACATTCTAGCCTTCCTAGTATTATGATCACACACAGTTATCAGGGTGCTGATTGCGATTCTGATCACTCCCTGGTGTTTAGTACAGTAAAACTGTGAACAAAGAGATTGTATCACATGAAAAAGGAAGGAAGACTACATATTGATATCAACAAGACTTTGATCAAAGAAAAGTGGAAGACTACATATTGATATCAACAAGACTTGTGATCAAAGTGGAGGAATTTGCCCAAGTGCTTGAGGAAACCCTTCCAGGCCCGGCTGATGCAAATGCACCTGAACGATGGGAACATTTCAAGAATGCTGTTTGTAACACCACCTTGTCCACATTTGGCAAGAAGACCGAAAAGATGGCAGACTGGTTCAAAGCCCATTCAGAGGAGTAAATGCCAGCCATCGAGGATAAGAGGAGAGCTCTAGCAGCACACAAAGTGTGTATAACTTGCACGTTCTTGGGGAAAGCCTGTCCTAGTGAGTATAACTTGCACGTTCTTGGGGTTGCTCGTAGCAAAGTCCAACAGGCTGCCAGGAGATGTTCCAACAATTATTGGCTTCAGCTCTGCTCTCAGATACAGATTGCACAGCAGGAGAGGAAGCTGAACACGTTCCATATGCATTGTCTCCAACACATTTTTGGCATCACTTTGTCCTGACAACGTTCCAAATAGAGTAGTCCTAGATCAAGCTGGAATTTTTAGCATGTATACATTACTAAAACAGTGACGTCTATGTTGGCTTGCACATGTCGTGAGAATGGCTGATGGTTGGATTCCAAAGGATCTCCTGTATGGGGAATTAGTGCAGGTAAATCGCCCCAGAGGGAGACCACAGCTCTGATACAAGGATATCCACAAGAGGGATCTGAGGGCCTTAGAAATGGACCTCAACAGATGGGAAACCTTGACATCTGAGCATTCAGCCTGGAGGCAGGCAGTGCAGCATGAAGAGACACTTGTCCAGCAGGCCGAGGCAAAGAGGCAGTCCCGAAACCAGCAAAATCAGGGAGCTGGACAGGGAACAGATTGTGTCTGTCTTCAATGTGGAAGGGATTATCACTCTCAAACTGACCTTCTCAGACACAGTAGATGCTGTTCCAAGTCTCAGTCACACTAGATGCTGTTCCAGATGTACGTGCTCCCATACAGAGCATGTTACTATAGTCTCTCGAGACTGAAGGATGCCTAACCTAACCTGCTAGATCTTCTTTTGTACACATGGTGAGGCATAATTTGCTTGCATGTAAGTGCTGTACAGTGGTACCTCGCTAGACGACCCCACTGTACGATGAATCCGCAGGACAGTGACTTTTTGCAATCGCTATAGCAATAAACAGTCATTCCTATGGGGGAATTCCTCTTGATGACGATTTGGTCCGTGCTTCGCAGACCGTTTATTCACAAGACGACGATCTTTACAGCTGATTGTCAGGTTCCTAAAATGGCTGCCCTGTGTTTTCCAGGCCCATGCTTCGCAGGGCAGCCATTTTAACAGCTGATCGGCGTTCGGAAAATGGCTTCCCCTATGGGTGATCTTCACTGGACAACGAGGTAATTTCCCCATTGGAACGCATTAAATGGGTTTCAATGCATTCCAATGGGGAATTGTTTTTCACATGACGATGATTTCGCTTAACAGCAATTTTCCCAGAACGGATTATTGTCGTCATGCGGAGCACCACTGTATTGATTGAATTTCTCCAAATTTGTCCTGTGTTCAAGTAGCGCCATTTTACTTGATATTTTTTTGTTTTTCTTATTTTGTTTCAAACTCTATTAGATGGCTTCCAGGTGTCCTAATGTTGGTGCTTTGACTTCTAACATTTTTTTCATTTTTACTTTGCTACCACAGCTTAACATAGCACAAAGCAGCATCATGAGGCACAGCATGAGCCAGCAGCTGAACCCTGTGACATTGTTCCTCCGTCATTACCCATATAGTCATAGCTTTAAAAATAAGTTTAACGATTATATTTATACCACATGATATGTTCAGTTGTTAGTTTTGATGTAAAGTAGTTATAACCTCCCTATGGAAGAAATGATAAATTGCAAATAAACAATTATTTTTCACTATTCTAAACTCTACATATCACTCAGTAGAGTTTTGTTTTGTTTTTAATTTGTCATGAAGAAAAGGATGTGACATTAAAATCTGCTGGGAAAGTCCTCCTTAATGTCTCACAATTGAGAACTACATTTTGTGGAGATAAGAGGAAGGAGCCCAATTTTAGAATGCCCTCGCCTTCAAGGGTCAGTGGGCACCAACGTTGGCAACGTTTTGGCAACAAATCAAAAGATATTTATTTACTAGAACTTTAAGTAGTTTTACTTTTTATTTTGTGTGTATTAAAATGTTATAATTTTAAATTACAGTATTTTGAAGATTTTATGTTTTTTCATTGTATTATATGGCTCTGAAAGCCACCTTTATGTGGGGCGAGAAATGCCTGATGTTCAAGCTGAAAAGGAATAGACACTTGAGATCATATTACAAATGTCTGCTGACTACTGGAGAGCAAAGATAAGATTTAAAAGTTCATTGAATAAATAGCCATATTGTAGTGGCTTGCATATTAAAATCATGTGTAATCTTAATACTTGTATTTTCATGTGAATGAATGAATGTCTCTCTGGTTTGTGCTGCCAAAACAGATATTGCTCCAGTTGAGGAATGGTTTGTAAAATTCAATATGCATCATGGATTACATATGTTCACTACTGAAGGAACTTTATTGGATATTCTGCGAGGTAAGCCATACCTTGTATAAACTTTGGAGATTCCTACAGGTAATTGAAATGACTGAGAAATTAATTGCAGCACATACAAACAGTTATATGTTGAGTTTGGCCTTAGACTTAGAAGCCATCTAGGAAATTGATCCAAAATGGATGAAATGTGACATTCTAATTATTTTTGGATCATAACTGCCAGCAGTCCTTGCCATTGGCTATACTAGGGATTCCTGGTGGGGGTTGCAATCCAACAACTTCTGGAGTGCCTACTTTATTTACCATTGCCATAGACCAGTAATAGATACAAGTGATACCATTATATTAAAACAAAATTGAAATAGTGCAGTAGACATGTGTTTTCTAGATTTAGACAGTACGAAAGGTGAACTGAGACTGAACCACAGAAAAGTTAGTAGATCTGGCAACTTTCATCTCTAAAATGCTGAGACACCCAGTTGAATTCTGCCCTGGGTAGTATATAATTGTAAATTTATTTTTTGCTTTTATATAGAGAGCGAAGCAGATTACCATGTGACTTTTTCTTCTTGCATGCATGTATCTTAAGGACAGTGTTTAAAGAATTAGGAAGGGTAGCAGGTAGAGATGGGGGTATTCGTATTCATATATGAATACAAATGCCTCCCAGGTGATATAATGAGAGTCTGCCCCCCTGGGGCTGGACTGTCCCCTCACCATCTGTTGCCACGAGCTCTGTGTTCCCTTTGTATCTCTCCAGAGTGCCTGGTTGGCAAGCCACTCTTTGACCTGGCAGATAGGCTCATTGTTCCACCTCCTGTCAGGAGTGGCTAACCGACCACGAGCTCCGGAGCAATAGGATGGGAGCCTGCAGCAGTAGCAGACGGTGAGTGGACAATTCGGCCCCAGGGGGGCAGACCCTTGTTATGTCCACTTGTGGGGAGGGGTAATTGTATACAGATACAAATATCCCCATCTCTAGTACCAAACTATACAGATACAAATACCCCCATCTCTAGTACCAAACTGTTATCACTGCATGAGAATGTAGCGATGTTACTGCTGGCATAACAAATCAATACTCTACAAATTATCACTGCATGAGAATGTAGTGATGTTACTGCTGGCATAACAAATCAATAATCTACAAGGCAATTCTAAAAATGGGGACAAACAAAATGTTATAACTTTGACATCGGGTGTTTGATCAGCACCAAATTTGCACAGATGTATCAGACAATCTGCTCTTGCTCTGAGCCAAATTTGGGGAAGTTTGGAGAAAGAGTTTTCAAGATATTTTATTAAAACATAAGCAAGCATCTTGAAATGTTTTGAGATTTGAAACAGATCAAATAAATTGAAAAGATCAGTCTTGGTTATCTTGAAAGAGGATAATTGTTCCCACCCATGTTTTGACTTAGAAGAAATCCTGGCTGCAGTAGCTGAAATATTTATCCTCAAAAAAGGTATTTCAAAAGAATAAAACAGTGACTTTCTTATAAATGGAATGTTTGTGGAACAGGCTTACCAGCAAGAGCATTCCAAAGTCAAGACATTGCTGCAGCTTCATCTGGCAATTATGAAAAAATTACCATTCATAATTCTCAAAAAACAAAAAAACCCAGCCCTGGTAATTGCTTTGCGTATAGGTGAGAAGCAGTTAAGGCAACATTCAGGCTGCCCTTTGCTATGTAAAGTTCAGTATCTTTTCTTTGCTGGCAGTATAGGCAAGATATTGTGCAATGATATTTGGCCATTTTCTGGTATTTTGAGTCATGAATAAAGAACCACACTATCCCACATTTATAAAACAGAGGGTTTTTTGAAGAATTGAATTATCACAGAATCAGTTGGGCGTTTATATATCAGGCACTGCTAGTATTGGCAGTATTCTGAGTCCTGGTCTACAGTATAACCTCTTGAGCACTGAATGTGTGCTAAATTTGCCTAAGAGCATAGATAGACTCCCGAGCAGCATTAATTGAGCAGCATTATCTTCAATGTCTTTTGTTCTACAGAGCCTATTCTTCAGTGGGTTTGGAAGCTTGGTGTTCCAGTGAATATTGATAAAACATTACCTAACTTAATAAATACCACAGTAACAAAAAGCCCTTGTGCCAGTGATGCAGCAATAATTGGTCTGATTTATGATGATAAAATAACAGGTAAATGAGATACTTAGTTTTTTGTACTTCATTCAATGAATATCGGCAGTATCCAACAAACAAACATCCTTACTAGAGAGTAGATATTGTTTAACTTCTACATAAAGCTGTTGTGTTTGTACTGCATGTACAGTATATGGATGTTCTACAAATGCCGATTATCCATGGCTATTGAGGCCATTGGAGATCATTATTGTGTAGGTGTTTTGTTTTTTATTTTGTTTTGTTTTTTGCACCAGAGTCCTCATAAACCAAAGTGGGTGAACTGTGACATTCTAATTATTTTTGGATCATAACTGCCAGCAGTCCTTGCCATTGGCTATACTAGGGATTCCTGGTGGGGGTTGCAATCCAACAACTTCTGGAGTGCCTACTTTATTTACCATTGCCATAGACCAGCGATGGAGAACCTATGGCACGTGTGCCACTGATGGCCCACAGAGCCCTCTCAGCGGGCACGTGAGCCACAAGTCACCAGATTGCTACTCCCTCCCCACAGCCAAACCTGAGGAGGTGACTGCAGCTGCGGTGCTGGTGCCCCGACAGCCAGTGAGCCAGGATCTAGAGCAGCTGGCGCTGGTGGCGGATCCAGAGTGGGGTCTCGAGGCACCTCCGTGCCTGGGATTCCCCCTTCCATTGCCGCCACCGCCACTGGCCACCGGCCCTGGGTTTGTTTGTTTCAGTTTGGGCACTCGGGCCCAAAAAGGTTCGCCACCACTGCCACAGATTGTCAGGAAGTCTTTTGTCGAGACTGTTGGCCTCTGCACCTATTAATCTACAGAAATGTACACCTACAGTGGAGAGGCAACACAGATGTGCATATAAATCTCCACTCCACCACATATGCTACTTTTTCGAAAACATTTTTCCCAGGCTGGATCAGGGCCATGGGTATTCATTTTAGAGCAAAAAAGAAAAGAAAGTTAGCTATATATTATACATAGTTTAAGTTATTGTTTCTCCTCTGTATAGTAACAATACCTGAAAGTACAGGTTTGCCTCTTTCTGGCAATTTGTTCTGATATTTGAAATGTATGGATTTTACTGCTTTTGGAGCAATAATCTGTCACTCCAGCAATCCTGACATATATTGTTGTAAATAAACTCAGATGTTAACAAATATTTTTTAAGTCGTATAGTCCTTGTAAACCCATGCAAGGTCCAAAACTAGCTTATGTTTGTGATTTTTAGTGGCCTGATAAAGATGTCAGCCACCTTTGCCTTCAGATAGGCCTTTAAACTCCAGTTGTCTCTTAATTCAAGGGAAAGGAGACTTCAGTAAATGCTGTACATCAGGAACATTTGTTCAGAAAAATACTGTACAGAACAGAACATTATAGCATGTTCTGGTGGCCTGGTTTTATATTGCTGATTCTGTTTTAACTAATGTCATTTTTTTTAATATGTAGGAATAATTATTGGAGTCACTGAAAATGGATTTATGACTCGAAATACATTGTGGTATAACATGACTGATACCATCTGTGCTGTACTAGAAGATGGTAATTCCTTCTTCTGTTCTTTACTTCATTTAAAATGTTTCTGTTGTTTTCTTTTGATGTGTAGTCTGATTTACCTCAAAGGCTTAGGGCATTTAGTTCTTTTGTAGAATATAATTGTGGGTTTCAGAGGAAGGATTACATCACATCAGTGCTTCACACTCAGAATGTCTCTGCTACTGTATCTCACAAATCATTTTCTTTTCCAGATTGCTCTGGTCTTGCACTTGTGGATACAATTTTAATAAACACTCGTCTGATAATGCTTACTACACTCGGACTATTTATCAGTGAGGATTTACGTTATTCAACTGGACAGTTGTTGAAAGTACGCTAAGTATGACTCTGAACAGGCTACCCTCCAACTTTCTGTAATAGAAAATTATTAACAGACATACTGAAAAATGTTCACATTAAGTTTGGAAAATATTTTCCTTATTGAGGCTGCAGTTCTAAATATACAGTACGTACCTGGGAGTAAGTCCTATTTACAGTATTTCAATTGTATTCGCTTCCAAGTAAAATATGTATAGTTTTGTTCTGTTGATCAGTGTTCTGTTTTGTTCTATTGATCAGTGTACATATGTAGCTTGTTAATATGGAATGAATTCAAAAGAGGCCAGAAACAGGATGCAGATAGTTCATAATTACTGCTGAAAGAATGTTATTGTTGCAGAGTGGTGGCTGAAGCAGTCTTTTCAGGTTTGTAAATTCAAACATCAAAGGGATCCTATGTATATTTAATACAAAATATTCCTCTGTTTGGTGATAGATGTCTTACTTGTTAGAAATCCATGTTCATAGAATTGTAGAATCATCATAGGGTTGGAAGGGACCTAGGTGGTCTTCTTGTCCAACCCCCTGCCCAAGACAGGAGACGTCATACCATCCCGGACAGATGGCTGTCCAATCTTTTCTTGAAAACGTCCAGCGATGGGTTCGCACCATTTCTCCTTATTTAGAGATTGGATCTCCCTCTGACAAGTTTCCACTCATTGGTTCTTGTCCTACCCTCAGGCGCAATGGAGAATAAATTGATGCCTTCTTCCCTGTGGCAACCCTTCAGATATTGTAAGATTGCTATCACGTCTCCCCTCTGTCTTCCCTGCGTTAAGCTCAACATACCTAGTTCTTTTAGTCATTCTTCGTAGGACTTAGCCTCCAGTCCCCTTATCATCTTTGTTGTTCTTCTCTGCACCCCTTCCAGGGCATCAGCGTCTTTTTTGTATTGTAGTGATCAGAACTGGACACAGCACTCCAAGTGTGGCCTCACCAGTGCACTATAGAGTGGTACTATTACTTCCCATGACCTTGATGCTATCCCCCTGTTGATGCAACCTAGGACTGTGTTGACTTTCTTGGCAGCTGCAGAACACTGCTGACTCATCCTTAGGTGGTGGTCCACTTGTTGTTTAGTCGTTAAGTCGTGTTTGACTCTTCATGACCCCATGGACCAGAGCACACCAGGGCCTCCTGTCAAATCCATATTGGTAGCTTCAATGACACTGTCCAACCATCTCGTCCTCTGTCATCCCCTTCTCCTCTTGCCTCACACTTTCCCAACATCAGCGTCTTTTCCAGGGAGTCTTCTCTTCTCATGAGATGGCCAAAGTATTGGAGCCTCAGCTTCAGGATCTGTCCTTCCAGTGAGCACTCAGGCTTGATTTTTTTCCAAAATGGATAGGTTTGTTTTCCTTGCAGTCCAGGTGACTCTCAAGAGTCTCCTCCAGCATCACAATTCAAAAGCATCAATTCTTCAGTGGTCAGCCTTCTTTATGGTCCAGCTCTCACTTCCATACATCGCTACGAGAAAAACCATAGCTTTGACTATGCGTAATTTTGTTGGCAAGGTGATGTATCTGCTTTTTAAAATGCTGTCTAGGTTTGTCATTCTTTTCTCCCAAGAAGCAGGCGTCTTCTAATTTTGTGGCTGCTGTCACCATCTGCAGTGATCATGGAGCCCTCGAAAGTAAAATCTGTCACTGCCTCCATATCTTTCCCTTCTATTTGCCAGGAGGCGATGGGACCAGTGGCCATGATTTTAGCTTTTTTGATGTTGAGCTTCAGACCATTTTTAGCGTTCTCTTTCACCCTCATTAAGAGAGTCTTTAATTCCTCCTCACTTTCTGCCATCAGAGTGGTATCATCTGCATATCGGAAGTTGTTGATATTTCTTCCACTAGGACACCTAAATTCCTCTCACAGGTACTACTGTTGAGCCCCAGGTACCACCTATCCTGTACCTGTGAATCTGGTTTCTCCTGCCAAAGTGCAGGACCTTACTTTTCCCGTCACTGTTCTCCTTTTTGGTGTTGCTACCCTCCATTGCTACACTGACTACAACTCTCATATGCTTTCACCATTGTCCATGCTGGTAGGGGACTATAGCAGTTGAAGTTCAAAATATTTGGAGCCCAAGAGTTCCCCAATAGTTGTCTAAGCTCTTTGTGTAAGCAGGAAATCTTTGCAAAGAAGATTCTGAAGTCAAGTTCCAACTCAGAAAATAGTGTACTAGCAAGACTGAAGAAATTGATACTAGAGGGACAAGAGAAAGGTGCTTGCTGGCAGAACTATCAGTCTGGTAAAAAGCCTATTTCTTTGGAAGGTTCTTGTGCCCCTGAATTACCAGTTAAGTTATACTTGAAGTCAGATGCCTAAGAATAAGAACATGTCCATTTCTGTGTTGCAAAGGAACTCTAGTAATTAAATTCCTTACATGACCTGGGCTCCTTGGCTAAAATATTTAACAACATAGGACTGAGACAATAAGTTAAAATGTTATTGTTTATTTTATTTATTGCAGGCACATCGTACAGCAGAGCATATCAGGACTGAGTATAAGTAATAATATAATGTTTATAAAATGGTTTTGTAAGAAACTTGTAAGAGGATGTTTGCTCCAGTTACTATACTTCATTGTATTACTTTATTTTTTTCCAGTTCAGCAAACCAACTTTATGTGGTTTTGAAATGGTGAGAAATCATTTAATATTTATTTCACTGTTCCTGCTGTTAAACTGGTTCAGTTTCTTGCAATTCATTCAGAAAGCACTTTCAAACTTTAAAAACCATGATCTTCAGAGGTTGTTAGTTCTTAATGTAAATTAACTGCTTTTAGAGTTATAATTTATAAATATAGCCTAACAGAAATAGCTATAATATTCTGGATATACCTAGTGTGGTGTAGTAGATAAAGTAATAGACTAGGACTCAGGAGGCCTTGGTTCAAATCCCCAAAGCACTCCTTAAATATGTCAATTACTACTCCATCATGGTGGCCCATAACAACAATAGTGTTGGGAGGCAGTCCTCTTGCATTTCCAAAACAGCACATCCCCCACAAGTTACTTTGTTGCTTTAATCAGGCACCTGCAAATTGGCCTTTTTCTTGGTTGTTGTTGTTCTTTTGTTTTGTACTTGGAATCTTCCTGACATCTTGGTGACTACTGGGCATGTGCCATGGATGCACATGTTAGAACATTATCCTATTCACAGTTCAGTGAAAAAAGATAACAGAAAGTATGAGTGAGTCTCCTGAGCAAGACATGCCACAGTATTTCTTTGGAGGGAAAGTGTACCTTACTACTCTGCTTTGCACAGAACCTGGAACATTACTTTGTAAAAAGCAACTTAGAATAATGGAGTTATTCACAGGACAAGGTTTCTTTTCTAGCAAATTTGCTCTTGCATAGCTATTTAGACAGAATGGAAGAAGATGAGTCAACAACGTAGTGTGGTATTCTATCAAGGAGTGGGGTTTTTTTTAAAAAAAGAAAAACACTTATTTTGTCAGGATAACATTCTGTAATCAGAAGTGAGGGGAAGTTCTGAAGGAATTAAGAATCTCAACATAGGGAACAACTACATTGACAACTATTGAAGGAAATGTTCCTGGATTGGAACAGCCAAGATCACATTATTTACTATTGACTGCACAACATAAAAGTCAGTGTGAATCAGCCTGGAGATTTTCCCTCTAATCTGTTCTTCTTCGTGGCCTCTGTGAATGCACACAAATGGGTTAGACTGCGCCTGCACAGGACTCCTCGGAATCTTCTAGAGCTTAAAAACATGTGATTACTAGGACATTTCCCCGTGGCGCGCATACTCCATCTGCCCATAATACCTCAGTTCCTTCTTGCCACCACTGAGATCAGACTCTTTCACACAGTCTAGAGCTGTTTTCAATTGTTACCTATTTCACTTTTTTTTTATTCTGGTCTGGCTTCCTAACTACTGTTTGTGATTTCTGGAGTACAGTACTTTGACCTTTGGACTGGCTTTGTTTATGATTACGATTGTCGAATTTGGATTGGCTACCTTTTTGTGATTTCTGGATTACTGACCTTTGGACTGATTACCATTTCTGGTTTGGCTTACAGACTTTATCGTGATTTTCCGCTTCTAATCTGTTTCGGCTTCTGACTTGGACTGGCTATCGTTGACGTTTTCCCGTGAGTTCTTCTCTTTTCCCCCCTTCCCCCCTTGTTCTGTTCCCACCAATTTTTATGGCCTTGTCAGGTCCCTTTAAGACCTGTACATCGTGTGCTAATAAGATCCTCTTCATGGATGGCCACAACCACTGCTTATTTTGATTAGGAGAGAGGCACCAGACCCACTCCTGTCCAGAGTGTAAGAAGTTGACCAAGCCTGCCCTTAAGCTCCGCTTACAGCGGCTTCGTTCATACTTGTGGGAGAAGTCTTTAACACCCTTGAGCTCGGCAGACATGGAGCCTACTTGACTCCTGCTCCTCCTTCTCCTTGTTCCGAGCCTGCTGCTTAATCATGGAATCAACCGTCTACGTCTCTTCAGATTTCTAGGCATGTTGAGAATCATTACAGAATGCATGGCAGTGACACTCCTCACTAAACATCCTGCACCTAATTCTATCATAGTACAATTTAATCAATCACAGGCTGGAAACCGGTCAAAGGTTACACCCACCAATGGAGAATGGTGGAAACTGGATTTCCTGGGCCATCGGCTTTACTCTCTGGCTTCATTTGTCATGAGAGTTTCAAATTATCAGGCAGCTATGGGGGATTATCAAAGGCAGTTATGGAACAAGGTTTTATCAGTTCTTCAGGCTGCTCCTGAGAAGACTAGGGCCAGTGTTCTCAATGCTCACCTTGAGGCGACAACCTTGGCTAAACAGCAGCGTTTAGCATCCCATCACATGGCTGATGCAGCATCTACTACAGTGGTGCCTCGCTAGACGATGATAATCTGTTCCACTGAAATTGCTGTCTAGCAAAATCATTGTCTCGCGAAAAGCAGATCGTCGTCTAGCAAAAATCGGTTTGCGAAGCAGGGACCAAACATTGTCCAGCAAAATTCCCCCATAGGAATCACTGTTTTGCGAATCGCTATAGCAATCACAAAAAGTCAATGTCTAGCGAAAAAACTGTCATGCGGGGTAACTGTCTAGTGAGGCACCACTGTATTGCACTCAGGAGGCATGCTTGGCTGCATTCAGCGGGGATCACGGATGATGCTAGGTCCCACATTAAAGACCTTCTGTTTGATGGAGTTGGCTTGTTTAATGAGAAGACAGATGAGGTTATGGACAATTTACATAAGATCCGGAAGACAGGTCATTCTTATTCTGTCCAGCAGCTACGATACCAACGCTACCAGTGGCACAGACCTTTCAATGCCTGACAATCTTATCAGCAATCTTCCCATCAGGTCTATCACTCTTAGAGACCTTCAGCTCAAGAGAGGTCCAATCTTCCTCCAGCTTCTGCTGCTACCACTACTTTCAGATTGCAGGCTCATGTCCAATGTCACCAAACCTTCCATCGTCCTGCAAAGAAAAGTAAACAGTATTTATGACTGTCCTATTCCGAACCATCCACCTGACCTTTCTCATCATCCACAGCTAGCCCCTTTCTTCAACAAGTGGTCTATCATCACCAAAGACACTTGAGTGCTTGCCATCATATGTTCTGGTTACCTCTTAGTGTTCACAGATCTTCCTCCTATTGGCCACCTCAAACTCACAGCTTACTTGCCTGCTCTAGAGGATGAAGTATCTGTTCTTGTCCGGAAGAATGCTGTTCAACGCATTCTTCCTCAAGAGGTTCTAGATGGTTTCTATTCCCACTATTTCACAGTTCCCAAAAAGGACAGTGGTCTCCGACCGATCCTAGATCTCAGACTACTCAATACCTACCTTCATCCAAGACGTTTCCAAATGATCGCCCTAGAATCTGTCATTCCTTTTCTCTCTCCAGGTGATTGGTTTATTGTTATAGACCTATAGGATACTTATTTTCATATTTCCATCCACCAGCATCATCACAAATATCTAAGTTTCTTCAAGGGGTCAGCTTACTAATTCTGCGCCCTACCATTTGGGCTTGCCACTGCCCCAAGACCTTCACAAAGTGTTTGGCCCCCTTAGCAGCCTATCTTCGTCTTCACAACATCATGGTTTTTCTGTATATAGACGATTGGTTGATCGCCTCTGGTTCTTACAGCAAAGTGCTAAAAGATACCATCTTTGCCCTCCGGACTCTGGCAGATTTAGGCCTACAGGTCAACTTTCCAACCGTCTCAGACCATGGACTATATTGGTGCTCACCTAGATTCCATCAGAGGGTCTTCCTTCCAACCAAGAGGATTCACAAATTAAATTGAGCTATTCATCCATTTCGCCCCTATGCCAAGGTTTCTGCTCACCACACACAACTTCTCTTGTTCTCATGGCTTCAACCACGTCTGTTCTTCCTCATGCTCGGTTGAAGATGAGCTGTCTATAGGTGTGGTACCGGTCCAAGTTTGATCCTCTTTTGGGCAACCCTGCCAAATGCCTACATGTGACTCCAGAGCTCGCAAGTCAATTGACGTGGTGGACGTTCGTGCCTCACCTTCTAGTTGGCCGACCTCTCATGCCTCTCCAGCTGACTCCTTCTTCGGCTTCTGCTGCTATCACTGCTTTCAGATCACAGGCTCCTGTCCAATGTTGCCAAACCTTCCATCGTCCTGCAAAGAAAAGTAAACAGTATTTATGACTGTCCTGTTCCAAACCATCCACCTGACCTTTCTCATCATCCCTGGCTAGCCCCTTTCTTCAACAAGTGGTCTATCATCACCAAAGACACTTGAGTGCTTGCCATCATATGTTCTGGTTACCTCTTAGAGTTCACAGATCTTCCTCCTATTGGCCTCCTCAAACTCACAGCTTACTTGCCTGCTCTAGAGAACGAAGTATCTGTTCTTGTCCGGAAGTGTGCTGTTCAACGCATTCTTCCTCAAGAGGTTCTAGATGGTTTCTATTCCCACTATTTCACAGTTCCCAAAAAGGACAGTGGTCTCCGACCGATCCTAGATCTCAGACTACTCAATACCTACCTTCATCCAAGACGTTTCCAAATGATCGCCCTAGAATCTGTCATTCCTTTTCTCTCTCCAGGTGATTGGTTTATTGTTATAGACCTATAGGATACTTATTTTCATATTTCCATCCACCAGCATCATCACAAATATCTAAGTTTCTTCAAGGGGTCAGCTTACTAATTCTGCGCCCTACCATTTGGGCTTGCCACTGCCCCAAGACCTTCACAAAGTGTTTGGCCCCCTTAGCAGCCTATCTTCGTCTTCACAACATCATGGTTTTTCTGTATATAGACGATTGGTTGATCGCCTCTGGTTCTTACAGCAAAGTGCTAAAAGATACCATCTTTGCCCTCCGGACTCTGGCAGATTTAGGCCTACAGGTCAACTTTCCAACCGTCTCAGACCATGGACTATATTGGTGCTCACCTAGATTCCATCAGAGGGTCTTCCTTCCAACCAAGAGGATTCACAAATTAAATTGAGCTATTCATCCATTTCGCCCCTATGCCAAGGTTTCTGCTCACCACACACAACTTCTCTTGGTCTCATGGCTTCAACCACGTCTGTTCTTCCTCATGCTCAGTTGAAGATGAGCTGTCTATAGGTGTGGTACCTGTCCAAGTTTGATCTTCTTTTGGGCAACCCTGCCAAATGCCTACATGTGACTCCAGAGCTCACAAGTCAATTGACGTACTGATGTTGAGCACATGCTCCATTCCTTAGATGTTCATCGTGCCTTCGCTTTGCACATTTCCAGAATTAAGGACTTCATACTTCCCCTAAACTATTTGCCTACTTCCATGGCCCACAAAAAGGCGCCCTGGCCTCTCCACAGATGGTGTCCAGGTGGATCGTTTCTACTATCACCTTGGCCTATGAACTGGCTGGGAAGGTAACACCAGAGGTGTTGAAGGCACACTCCACGAGAGCTATGGATACTTCGACTGGTCATGTGGCATAGAGATCCCTGACATTTGTCGAGTGGCCACATGGTCTACACCATCAACCTTTGTGACGCACTGCCATCTGGACCTCAGGGCAAAAAAGGAAGCAAGTTTTGCAAGAGCTGTGCCGACTTCAGTGTTGCCGTGACAGCTCTCCTCCAGTAAGTGAGCTTGCCATTCACCCATTTATGTGCATTCACAGAGGCCACTGTTACATACAGCACTGATGCTACCTGTCTGTCATGGGTTTGGAGGGAAAGTTCCATCCTATGGGGAGTATGCCTTCATGGTGAGCTGGGATGATGTCCTCCTTTATCTTTTCCCTCCCATTCCGCTTATTCAACGAAGAATTGTCAGGATCTGTCAGTTGCGAGCCAATGCCATTTTGATAGCTCCATGGTGACCTCATCAACCATGGTTCACCACCCTCAGAACCATCGCCTCCAAGTTTCTTAGACTACCTCTCCAACCATTCCTCCTAACTCAGGACGGAGGCAAGATCTGTCATCCTGACCTGGAGTCACTTCACCTGACGGTATGGAGGATTATCCTAGTGTAAAAGAAATATTGGACAGAGCTAGAAAACCTTCTACAAAATTGCTATACTCTTATAAATGGTCTGTTTTAATCAAATTTACTGCTTCCAGAGGTCTTCTGGCATTGGATATGCTTCTCACTTTCTTCCGTTATCTGTTTGATAGAGGTCTGGCCCACTCGATGTTAAAAGTTTATATTTTTGCTATTGTTTCTTATCAGCCTGTGGGTACAGAAGCTTTCCGCTTATTTTCACACCCAACTTTAAAGAGGTTCCTGAGGGGTTTGTGTAACATTCGCCCATCTGTCCGGCCTCTACTCCCTCAATTGTCTCTCCAGGTCATTTTATGGGCTCTTGTTTGCCCACCTTTTGAGCCCATGGCTTCTGCTCATCTTAAACTTCTCTTGATTAAAACTTTGTTTCTCGTGGCTATTACTTCTGCATGAAGAGCAAGTGAGTTGACTGCCCTTTGATCTGATGCCCCTTATACTGTATACAGTTTCAACCAGACAAGGTTGTCTTATATCCTGATGTATCTCTTCTCCCTAAAGTGATTTTGAGTTTCCATGTTAATCAACCACTAATTCTCCCAACGTTGTTTCCTAATCCTTCTTCTGATGTTGAGCACATGCTCCATTCCTTAGATGTTCATCGTGCCTTGGCTTTGCACATTTCCAGAACTAAGGACTTCATACTTCCCATAAACTATTTGCCTACTTCCATGGCCCACCAAAAGGCGCTCTGGCCTCTCCACAGATGGTTTCCAGGTGGATCGTTTCTACTATCACCTTGGCCTATGAACTGGTTGGCAAGGTAACACCAGAGGTGTTGAAGGCACACTCCACGAGAGCTATGGATACTTTGACTGGTCATGTGGCATAGAGATCCCTGACATTTGTTGAGCGGCCACATGGTCTACACCATCAACCTTTGTGACGCACTACCATCTGGACCTCAGGGCAAAAAAGGAAGCAAGTTTTGGAAGAGCTGTGCTAACTTCAGTGTTGCCAGCTTAGTGTAACTGTGTGGCAGATCCCAGTAGGTCTGGGTTTGTCACATTGATTTGGCTCCCCGTCGGGAAGAAAGAAGAAAGAGAGGTTACTTACCTATAACCATAGTTCTTTGAGTGGTCCTCTGTGAATCTACACATCTTGCTCATCCTCCCCGCTGTCCGTCACTTGGTTCTTGAGGTTTGTTGCTATTAGAGCCTTGACAGCAATGGACATTTCGGAACTGAGGTATTATGGGCATGCGGAGCATGCGCACCACGGGGAAACGTCCTAGTAATCACATGTTTTTAAGCTCTAGAAGATTCCGAGGAGTCCTGTGCAGGCACAGTCTAACCCATTTGTGCAGATTCACAGAGGACCACTCGGAAAACTATGGTTAGAGGTAAGTAACCTCTCTTTTTTACCTCCATTGCTGAGGCTTCTACATTAATTTAAATCAAATGTATTTGTATTAGTTCAGCCAGTTTGATCGCTTGAATCAATGTGAAGGGGTTTGTAGCTGTTCTGTCTGGAACCATCCCAGTCATCTGCAGCAGCAGAGAAACTGGCTGCCTTTTTAATCATCTCCTCTCCACACCAGGATCTGCTTGTTTTCCTTCCTTCCTTTTAAGGCTTGCTTCCCAGCTGTAGGACAGCTAGGTGACCAAAGCAAGGGCTGCAGGGGGAGGGGAGACCAGGAATCTCCAGAGCTGGAAGAATGTTTTTGCCTAGGCTTGTTTCCAGCTTGTTAAAGTGGCAATCCAAATTTGCAGAGGACACAGTTAGAGCAAAGTTATCTTAAGAAGCTGGAAAAAACTTTGCTTGTTAAGATTCCTCACTTTTCCCCCTTTCTCTGGTCACCTAGCTGTACTAATGCTAGGACACCAAGTCTTTAAAAGAAAACAAGAAAGAAAGAAACAGAAGAGAAAGGGAGAGAAGTGGGAAAGACTCAGGCACCATATGTAGAGAGGAGAGGATTCAAACAACTAACAACCTGCAGACAAGGCCGAGTATCAATTTCCTCTCTCTGCTGACTCCTCTGTGGTTGGCTGAACTTCCTGGACACAACTTCACAGTGGATCCACTCATATTTTTCCTGCTGTGTAATTGCACGTAAGTTCCACATTCCTTTTCCACTTATCAATTAGCACATTCCTTGGCAAGGGAGATAAAGTGAGGGTGTGATCACATGGAGAAATAATTTGTAATCTGAACTGCTTGTAGTGTGGTCTAGTGCTGTCTTTCCCCTGATAATCATATGACACATCGGAAAATGCACTTTGGTTCAGCTGGGGGGGGGGCTTCTACTTTGGAGGGTCAGGTTGGCTCAATTTTCTGGCAGATGGAAGGGTCGCTTTAAGGAAGATCATTCTCATTAAAGTGACCGTTTCTGGTGTGATCAAGTGTGCATCTTTGCAACTGTTGTATCACATCCTGAGTCATCTTTCAGGAGGATCTACGTAAGACTATGGATAAGGACAGCAACCTAGTTTTAAGTTTCATCCTGAGTCATCTTTCAGGAGGATCTACCTAAGACTATGGGTAAGGACAGCAACCTAATGCTTTTTGGGATTGTAACCCCAGAAATCCCACAACCAGCATGCATGTGGGATTCCAGAACTATAGTCCAAGAAAGCAACATTTCCATCCCTTGAAAGTGTTAGGCAAGTGCATGACAGCAAAAAAGTGGGTTATGATTCAATGTACCCCTGCTGAGACATTTCCATCCCTTGAAAGTGTTAGGCAATGCATGACAGCAAAAAAGTGGGTAATGATTCAATGTACCCCTGCTGAGTCTTACTAGCTGTACCATGTATAACTGAAAAATAGCATTGGCAAATCAAATTCTTATTTCATATTTTCCACCTATAGGATGATTATTTTAGAGCAAAAATATGGTATAACCGCCAATGTCTAGCTAACAGAGAAGACTATGAAGGTGAGGAAGCCAGAGTTGAAAGCCATATAAATATATAAAATAAGAAAGGGAGTAAATATTGAACACATTTTTCTCTAGTGTTGTTTTTTGTGAGTATATTCTTGTTATGTGCTCGAACAACCTATAATATAACTGTATTGTAAAGTTTGCTGCTAACAAAACGATATGGTGGCTGAATCAGGTATGTAAAAATAATCTGGTGCTTGTCTACAGCAAGAGCTAAATATTTTGTCTAAATGTTGTCAGCTCTGGGTAGATTGTACAATGACAGGTGGTGTGCAAAGCAAAGATAGGGTGCAGCCAGGTCATCCCAGATGCTTCCTTTGACCAGAAATACTTAGTGGTGTACTCCGTTAATTCTGACCTACCATTTGTCAGGTCAACAGTTGTTTTGTTTAAAACCAAGTGTAACTCTTAAACAAGAACAGTGTGGGAAGTATTAATATACAAATCAAATATTTATAAACATTTAAGCTGCCAAGGACTCTCCCAGTCATTTCTATCTTGTACAGACTTGTTTATTTTGAAGTGTATAACAAAAATAATCTGAAAATGAAGGAGAGTTTCATGTAACACCTTTATTAAACCCCCACAATGTATTTATTGTTTCTTGGAAATGCAGGGGTGGAGCAAACTTTCTAGTCCCCCAGACCTCTTGAGGAAACTGGACATTATAAAGATTGAGAAGGAGAAGGGGAGAAGCAGAAGAGTTTAAAATTAATTCTGGCCAAATATTTAACTCTCTAGAGCTTCATGATGTAAATAAATAAATAAATAAATAAATAAATAAATAAACCGCAGAAGCCTCTGTGCTGCAGGGTCAGAAGACCAGCAGTTGTAAGAACGAATCTGTGCGACGGAGTGAGCTCCTGTTGCTTTGTCCCAGCTCCTTGCCAATCTAGCAATTCGAAAGCATGTAAAAAAGAAGTAGTTAAATAGGTACCACCTCGGTGGGAAGGTAACAACGTTCTGTGCCTAAGTCGCACTGGCCACGTGACAATGGGAACGGGTTTTGGACAAGTCGCGCTGGCCACGTGACAATGGAAACGGTTTTTGGACAAACGTGGGCTCTACGGCTTGGAAATGGGTATGAGCACCGCCCCCATTGTCGGACACGACTGACTAAATATCAAGGGAACCTTTACCTTTTTAGAGCTTCATGAAGAGCTAGCTTGAGTGTGGTGTTACTAAATTCTACCTCAAGTGTTTTAAAATTAGTTGCCAGTCTCTGTCCCTATAGAAGGAAGGCGTTCAAGCATTCAACAAATTGCCCATTCATTGCATTTTAGCTGACCCTGTACTAGTAGGGAGCAGAAGCATACAGTAGTGTAGTTATCCCATATAACCACCCAAGATGGTGGTTAAATTTACATAGCGTGCTAGGCAGAAACAAGTCAACTGAAGCTTAATAAGGATATTACCTATTATTTTTAGGAAGATATTATCTCCAGTTTAGTACAGCAGAAATATGATTTTCTCTTGTTGTGAATCCCTTCCTGCATGGCCAGCTATCGATGATCAATAGGATCCCTTCCAGCTCTGTAGTTCTAAGATTTATGGTATTCTCCACTGAAAGTAAAACAAAAACTGAAATAAATCCAAAAAGAGTTCTTTGTGAATGATAACATAAAACTAAAGAGATGCATTTTCTAAACTATATTATATACATGCAAACACTGATTTGTTGTGTTTATACATTTATTTTCCAGTGGACTATGTTGGTCTTTCATTTAATAAAGAGAAGACATTAAGTCAGGTAAGGCAAATGATAAGCCTGATGAATTTTGATTGACTTTGAGTGTGATCACACTGTGCTTTATTTCATGATTCTGATTGCTTTGGGAACAGGCTGGTTTACTCCATTTTCCAGCAACCACATGATGTACAGGTAACTGAAAACAAATTCAACTTTTATCTGTGCCTACTTGTACCTTTTTGTGTCCCTGTCAGGGGCTACTCTTTTTTTTTCTTTAGTGCAAATAAAATTGCGCCATTTTAGTTCAGTTTCCAGCACTTGTGATCAGAAGTATTGAACCAAAATGGTATTGACAGATGTTTCCACAAACAATTCAATGCTACATCACTTGGGTGGCAAGCCAGTGAAGTAATACATTAGTTAACAATAAAAGAAAACTATCCCCTGTTCCCAATAGAGGGATAATAGGAGAGAATGCAGGGGGTGGCTTCCCCCCCCCTTTTTTTTCTCTTTACAATCCAGTGTTGTTTCACTTTGATGGCAAACACCATCAAAACTTTTAAATAGTAAAATAAAATAAAATAAAATAAAAACCAGCTTCCCTGCACTCCTCACGGAGCAGGACACAGAAAAGGAGATGGAGATGGAACTCTTTCCCCCCACTTCCCCCCTTCTATAATCCAGTAAAATAAAATAAAATAAAATAAAAATCAGCTTCCCTGCACTCCTCACAGAGCAGGACACAGAAAAGGAGATGGAGAGGGAACTCTTTCCCCCCACTCCCCCCCCTTCTATAATCCAATGCTGCTTCAGTTTGATAGCAAGCCAATATAGTGATATGTCGTATAACAATGTGTTTTTAATTGAAATCCTGCTTTCCCCTGCCTCCAATGAAGAAGAAGCAATGGGATATCTCTTTTTTCTTTATTTTTCTTTCTATTCCAGTGCTATTTCATTTTGTGGTAAGCCAGTGATATGTCATTTATCAATAAATAAAAAAAAGATTCAGCTTTTTCCTGCTCCTGTGAGACAATAAGAGACAATAGAGGAGCCAATACAAGAGACGATATAGGAGATGATACAGAACATAGAGTCTGAGAAGGAAGAAAAGGCTGAATAGTATCACTTTGAGATGCATTATAACTTCCTGTCCCAAAACCACCCATTCCTTGTGTGAGGTACAAGGATAATTCTAAATCGCAGACCTCACTTTCAAGCAGTCCTGTTGGGCCAGTCCAGCATCAGATAATTTCACTGTCTAGTCACACACTGTATTCAGATGGATTGGTCTGGAGCTCTTTTCGTTACATAATTTGACTTCTGACAACAATGGCATAGAACCATTCAAAAATTGATAAGATTTACTAATAAGGTAACTACACAGAGTCTTCAGCATTTCTCTAACACTAGTATTCTGCAACTTCCAGTATTAATTTAATATTATTTTGGTTTATATGCTGCTACGTGAAAGATCTGAGCTAACAAGATAAGGTAAGGAATAACCAAGCAGCAAATACTGTAAAATACTTCAGTAAAGGAACAAGATAAGGTAAGGAATAACCAAGCAGTAAATAAAATACTTCAGTAAAGTATGCTGTAATTAGGTTCGTTGTCAACTGTGTGCGACCCCTGTATTGACGCGGGAATAAGAGATGGAGGCTGCTCCATATTCGTAACACAACTTGATTTATTACTAAACAAACTCAATTCAACAGGTTCAAAAGGGTCCATCAGACTTAACTCAGGTAAAAGGAGATAACTTTGTACTCTAACGTCCAGTGTTTTAATATCACTCCTCACTGAGGGGCCGGTCCAAACCGCTCCCGATTGGTCATGGGTCTCAGTGGGGTGCTCCTCACGGCACATACTGTCCCACAATAAGGGTGTCTCGCCCAGTCCCCCTCGCGTTGTGGCTGGAGTAAAGAGGGACTGGGACAGATCACCCTCTTCCCCCCACGCTGGTTGCGAGGGTATAATACCACCGTCCATTCCAGTGGCTCTAAATCTTCTCTCTTCGCGCGTGCGTCCTTTGGGTCAGGCAGCAGACCTCCTCCTAGTTGGAAGTTTGGAAACTCTTTCATAAGCGTGGCAAATCCTTCTTGCCCAGCACTCCACTCCATCTGCACTGCCTGGTAGGAGGTTGTTCACCTGTTAGAATTCTAAAACTTCACGCACCTTCTTCCTTCAGCACTCCACTCCATCTGCACTGCCTGGTCTCTCGTGGGAGGTTGTTCACCTGTTACAATTCTAAAACTTCACGCACCTTCTTCCTCTTTTATACCCTCCTCCCACACAATCAAATCCAGCTCCTCCCCTTTCTCGTTGGCTAAGCATACCTCAGGTGACTCTTTCCCTTCCCCTTTCTCCTGTTCTATTTCTACCAATATGCCCTCCACACAACCATGGCTCTCCTCTGTCCTCTGCTCCATGGAGGATGGCACACTGGCTCTCTTTCCTTCACAGATGCCCTAGTTAAACAGGCATATGGGATGCATAGTGACTGCACTTGAGGAGTCATGAAAGAAAATATTCTGACAAAGTTTTTTAAAAGGCAAAAAAATACAATGAAGGAGGTTCCATAAAGTCTCAGATATATGGAGGAGGGCACTGGTGCAGCATACATGAAGAGGGAAAGCTGGCACGCTCAGATGCTTATATTCATTATGCTTACCATGGCAAATATCCTAAGTCTTAACCAACAATATGATCTAATTATAATTGTTTATTTTCCCCTTCCAATTCTTTTAGAAGCAAACTGTACAATATAGTATAAACAGGTCACTCTATTTTTGAAAGAGTAGTAAATGTGTGGCCCCAATCTTGCTGATGAATCCTCCTAATCCTGATTGAAGCTCCATACCATTTTTTTGCTTTCACTGTTTGTCTCTCAAGCTGCTTTGGAGGAAAATAGGAGCCAAGTGGGGCAATATTAAGCAGAAACATAATATTTGAGCTTCTGCTATTGGGATCTCTACACATATTCCAGATTGAAGCCACTCATCTGTTCTTTCTTCGAAACAGAAGTGCCCAATTTTAGCTGTTCTTTAAAAGTGAGGGAAATGGGATGTGCATATTGGTGCTTAATCTTATTTTTCACTTCTGTGTTTCATCTTTGTTTCCACACTACTAAACAGATTCTTTAGAAATCTTTGAGTGGCACTATAGCCTATTTCTAAATCTACAAACCGTATATTAACTTGGAGTTCTAATGTAGATTTTTTTTAACAGGAATCTACCTGTTTCTATAGTAATGATTCATTTACAAAATGGCATAATTGCTTGCCTCACCGAACAAAAGCTGAAAGACAGATTTCTAGAAGGGTGGTTTCTTTTATCGTTGATTATGAACAGAACACCGGCATAGCTATCTTATCTCAACAGGTACAGTATGTAGAAGGACATGATTTTAGCTTTTAATGTTATTCATAGAATCATAGAATAATTGAGATGGAGGGGGCCATATAAGGCCATCAAGTCCAACGCCCTGCTTAATGTAGGAATCCAAATCAAAACAGATCTGACAGATAGTTGTACAAAATTATCTTGAACACTTCCAGCATTGGAGAGCTCGCTGTCTCCCAAGGCAATTGGCTCGATTGTCATACTGCTCTAACAGTTAAGACATTTTCGCTCATATTCAGCCTAAATCTGGCTGCCTGTCATTTGAACCCATTATTATGCCTCCTTCACTCTGGGATAATCAAGAAGAGATCCTGCCCCTCATCTGTATTTCACATACAGTATTTGAAAAGGTATACCATATCATATCATTAATACTATCTGTATAGATGTTACAGTTGTTTTATAATTTCTTTCATTCTGTCAAAAATTCCTAGAAAGAATTTTAGAAATTTTATCTGGTACAAAAGTATTTGGTGAAGATATTTTAAATGGATTATAATTCAGAGAATTAAAGAATAGATGGGACAACGGGAATTAAATATTGGAATCTAGACTCTCTGGTTCCCTAGTTGTCCTACCAGTGTCCACCTTGTCTTCTGTTGTTGTCCCAGATTTTTCTTCAAAGATCTTTAGTACAATCTACACAAATAAGACCGCAGCAATAAAATAATATTACAATCCACCTTTACTGAAGAATAATTAGGATAAGTTAAAAGGCCTGGTAAAACAGGAATTTTTCACTGCTTGCTTTATAGTCAGGAGAAAAGACTGACTTCAGTAGGGAAAGATTTCCATAACCTTAAAATCACTACCAATATAGTCCCATCATATGTCTTAGCTCCTGTACATCTCTGAACCTGGGGGGACAAGAAAAATGGGTCCCAGTGTTAAGTACTGGGTTTGAGAGGAGATTGACCTTCAAACCTCTAACAGTTTGACCTTCAAATAGTCTGTTTCTAGACCATTTAGGGCTTTATAGGTAATAACCATGAAATAAGTCCAGAGCTGAATTTAGAAGCATGCTGAAATCCAGTATAGAGAAAACAGAATTTGAGTAATATACTCCAAATGGCATACAGCAGATATCACATGCACACCAACGTTTTGTACCATTTGCAGATTCAAAATGTTTGTCAAAGACAGACCAATACAGCATGTTATACTAGTATAATTTGGATACAACTAAGTCATGTGCAACAATGGCCAGATCTGCTTTATCAGTAAGAGGTCACTGATTTGGCTAGACAAAACCATCTCTTTACAGAAAAGTAGCAAAGTTCAGTCCAAGGGTGTAAATAGACTGTAAACCCTTCTGAGAGGAGATTGACCTTCAAATAGTCTGTTTCTAGACCATTTAGGGCTTTATAGGTAATAACCATGAAATAAGTCCAGAGCTGAATTTAGAAGCATGCTGAAATCCAGTATAGATAATCCTTCAAAGGGAGTGTAGTCCTGTCCATGGCTCCCTAGAACTAATATTTGGTTGTTTTTCCTGACCTGTAGCATTTCTGTCTTGCCTTGATTATTTCTTCACTTACAAACCTACTCTCAACTCATCACTGCCTCCAAGCCATCATTCAGACCATCAAAAACTCAGAAATATAGAGCTGATATCATACAGGTACTGATGGCATCCAATCCTCAAATCACTAGGCAGTCTTTTCTAATGGTAGACGTTAAATAACGTAGGGAACATACTAGAACACTGAGACACCTCCTAATCCAGTGATCACTAGGTTAATTTGCAGTCCCTTTCTAACATATCCTGAGGTCTGCCCTCCAAATAGATAGGAAGTACAAAACAGTATCCCCATGCCAAATCGTATAGAAGAACTTAATAGTAGATGGAAGTGAACGCCAATAAGAGGTCCAGCTGAACCAAGAGGGACATGTACCCTTATCCAATTCCTGAAATATGCCATATTATAGTGAGTGGCAAGAACTTCACTAGCTTCCTGTTTCCAAGCAAGGGTACTTCTCCAACCTCATATAATATTTCTTTTCTTTTTCTCTTATATGTTACAAAATTCTGTTGTTTCCTTTCCTTTGTAGAACAGGGCATTGGTATCAGTACATAAGTTAGTGGGCAACGAATTAAACAAAAAGAGAAAATTCCCAGCTTTCTGGTTCCCAGATAAATCCTTTATACCATTTGGAATGTTTTTCCATCCGGGCAGTCATTTTCTATATGCTTATGGAAATCAGGTATGTAAGAGAGAGAATCCTATACGATTGATAAATAATGCCATTTATGGCATGATTTTGATTATTCAAATTCATAAAATATTAGGGGGAAACAAACCCATGTGTTTGAAGCAACTGGAGATACTAGAAGATATACCTGTATCAGATCCTTTGGTTGAAGTTTATACCATTTTCACTTGTATTCATTTTGTCACTCCATGCCCTCATTCTTTCCAAAATATCCTTTTTTGCATGTTTGTAGCATATATGGGTATAGAGTAGTCATCAGGTAGAAAAGAGGCAATGGCTACTTCCAGATCAGAGTGCACTTGTTGCTCTTTTCCATGTGGGATTGGGATAGTATTTTACATTTATTAATTTATTTAATGTCCTAACTTTCTCCCAACGAAGAGAACAAAGAAGGCGTACAAAACATTAAAACTTTTAAAAAAAACAATTGATTACAATATTAATAAACAAACATATGACAAATTAAAATTATATTTAAAATCATTAAAACGATTTAAAAGCACATTTTAAAGGATATCACATATAATTCCACCATTACAACTACTTCTTTAATAGTGAATTACTGACTAAAAATCTGCTTAAAAAGAAAGTTCTTCGCCTGCTGGTAGAAAACAGTAGAAAAAAGGCCAGCCTGCTTTTCTCATAGAAGAGAGGCTGGGAGCAGCCACCAAGACATTTTCCTGTATTACACTCTTGTATTGAATGTAAATGTAAAGACAGTGAGACCTAACTAGAATATCTGAATAACTGTGGAGGCTCATACAGGGAAACAGTCCTTCAGGTAGCCTGCACTCAAGTCGTATAGGGCTTAATAACTGAAAACCAGCATCCTAGTAATGGACCAGTAGCCAATGAGTTGTTGCAATAATAAATTTATATTCACTTTGTAACTAGTTCTGATCAGGAGTCTAGCTGCAGCATCTTGGACTCATTGCAGCCGCTGGTCACATACTTTTTAAAGGCATCTCCATATACAGTGTGTTACAGTAATCTAAACGAGATGTAGCTATGGCACGTGTCTCTGTGACATATTATTGTTGTTGTTGTTGTTGTTGTTGTTGTTGTTGTTGTTGTTATCATTATTTACTACTACTACTACCACACTACTAGTAGTAGTAGTGGTGGTGGTGGTGGTGGTGGTGGTAATAGTAGTAGTAGTAGTAGTAGTAGTGTGTTTTGGGAGGTACTGTGGGAATAAAGATAAAAAGGGCTACTGGTATTTTACACCCATAGCCTCTGCACTATATGTTCAAGCCTAAGAAATAACAACCACTGTTTAAAAAAAAAAACCAGAGGAGTGTTGAGCCTTTTAGTGTACAGATTCTGACAAAACCTGTCTGAATTAATCAAAGCATGAAAGCACAAGATTTGCCCGGAAGCCGGTAATTTGATTGAATGTATGATTTTGCATACAATATGTGGGTTTTTTTTTTTGCCACATGCTATACAGTGGTGCCTCAACTTACGAACTTAATTGGTTCTGAACTCTGGTCGTAACTCGAAATGGTCGTAAGTCGAAGCACCATTTCCCATAGGAATGCATTGAAATGCAATTAATCCGTTCCGGCCAAAGGAAAAAAAATCACCAAAAAAACAAATCACTGCAAGACTCATCGGAAACACAATTAATCCATTCCGGCTAAAGGAAGAAAAGAAAAGAAAAGAAAGTGCGCAAGATCCATCGGAAATGCAAAAAAAGCAAATCAGAAAGCAAGCAAAGTGTGTAAGACCCATCGGAAATGGGGCAAAAAAAACAAAAAGCAAACAAGCCCCGCAAGAAACCCCGCAAGCATAGAAACATAATCCCACCACCCAGCCCAAAACCACACTGCAGAACCCACCCAGAACATTTTTTAAAAAAGCAGAAAGCAGCACCTTACCTTACAGGGAGTCCGAAGCCTCCTCCAGTCACACTCACCCTAACCATTGGGGTGAAAGAGCTACAAAGAAGCAGCCTCTTCGACTACCAATGGTTAGCAATTTGAATTCCCTGCCTTTTTCCCTGCCTTTTTTTGGTTGTAACTCGAAACTCTGGCCACAAGTCGAAGCAAAATTTTGCAGCCGGACCTGGTTGGAACTTGAAATGGCTGTAAGTCGAGGTGTTCGTAAGTCAAGGCATCACTATATAATTAAATCACCATATTTTCATGTATATAACGTGCACATTATACAGCTTTTTTTGAACTGTGGGACATTTTATTCATAGAGAGTATCATAATCTTTTCATTGCTTAGGGGCCTCCAGAGGTCTTAGTCTGGCCCTGCTGCTTCCTCACTCAAAGTAAGAGTGTGTATGATTGCATTTCTTCCCCAGGATTCTGATTTCATTTTCCTCCATTTCTCTTCCGGAAATCCAAAAAAATCTGCCTGTTTTTTTAAAAATGTCTCAAAAAACCCTCAAGATTTTTAATTTAAATAATTGTTTTTGAACTCCT